TGGGAACATATTTCCATATTTGGTGGTCTTGCCCTGCTGTTCAAGTTGTCTGGCTTGAAATCTTCCACATGCTGTCCACTCTCTTCTCACAACCGATATCGCCTACCCCGGCCATTGCCCTGTGTAATCTTCAGCTCCCCTCGATATCCAAATCCCAATTCAAACTTTTTTTTACAAGTCACTACAGCTGCTAAGCAAATATTGGCCAAATCTTGGAAGTCCCCATCCCTGTGTGTTCTGGCAGTTCAGAACAAGGTAACGCAGGCAATGATACACGCTAAAGTGAAAGCAACCATTATGGACCCTGTCCCCAAATTTTTGTCAGTTTGGGCCTCATGGGTGGAACACTTCCTCCCTCCGAATTTTGACGAGTCATTGTTCCTTCCCTAATACTCCTCAACCCCATCTATTGGCAGTCCTGTACCTTGGTCTGGACCCGAGCCCCCCTATCTACCCTGGAAGTCACATGTCCTTTCTCGCCCTCCTATCCCCTCTTCTTGCTCCTCTTCTCTTACTCTTACCATTCACACTGTTCCACTTCTCTTTTTTGCCTTTCAAGGAACCCGCATATAAGTCCTGGGAGCTGCACTCCCAGGTATGTGTATATAATTATATTTTGCTTCCTTTTACATTGTATTCTCCGTTCCCATTCATTGCGGTTCCTTATTGTTTGTATATGTTTGACATTTTTAATTGTCTGTCTAGCTTCAAGTTATTATTTCTTCTCCATGAACGTATTTTGGATGTCTTACATGTGCCACAGTACTTGAAAAATCAATAAAATGTTTGAACAAGAGAATGTAAACCAACACTGTGTATAAGTGAACTTATAGTGCCCGGGGCCCCCCAAGTTCTAAATCTGGCACTAGCTTAAGGCATCATCTTGGTATACCACTTGAAACTGCTGATGTATATGTACATATTGCAGACTTCACGCCCATTAACAATGCATGAAACAAGTGAAGAGGGAAGAGAAGAGTAAATAAGCGCATGTACTGAGCAGGCACAATGCATGAATAGATTCTAACAAAAATGAATGTACTGAAAGGGGAAAAAAGACATAGGAGCAGGCTTGTAACAGCAACATATTCACATTGATTAAGTAAACTGGGGCAGGGTTGAAAAAAACATCTAAGAAAGGCAATAGACAGGCTTGATAAATTGATGTTGACAGCTTGAAGGTGAAAAGGTGTATGCAGGGTTCCATGAACAGAAGGTGAAGCTGTTCTGACTTGCTAACTGTAACAGCTGACTGTGGTAAATGCATAACTTGATGGTGTCACCTTTCAAAACAGACATGTTTACATAAATGCATTATAATCAGAATAATTTCCTCCCAATGGCTTTATTATAAAACAAATACCACAAATTAAAACAAGAACCTTGTGGCACACCTTAAAAACCTAATTTGAGTGGGCTACACTCTTCCATTGTTCACACTGCAACTACTAAGCTACAACATAATGACTCTCTATGCCAGCCTTTCGAAACACTTTTACCCCAGAAGAACCCTTGACATAATTTCCATGTCTAAGGGAACCCCTGCTAAAACTAATTAATCGGAGGGGAAGTAAGTAGAATACCCCATACATTGGAAGAAAGTAAGAAGAATAACCCTCAGTAGTGGTCAGATTTCCCCCCCTTCCCCCACAACCGGCTAAAACAATATCTGATATCATGCCACTGGCTCTGTCAAGAGGTGTTGGTCCCTAAACTAGGCAGGCATCATCAGATCAGACGTCAATTAACCAAAGTTCAAAGAAGCCCTAGCAACATTTGAAGGAACCCTAGTTGAGATTGGCTGCAATATGCTGTCATCAATGAATCTATTCATACAATGGCTTCTGTTGGATGAAGTAAACTAACCAACCAACCAACCAACCAACCAGAGCATGATAACAACCCAAGGGAACCTGTCGTGATTCCATGATCCAGCACTAGAGTACCAGAATTATTTGGGTGCATCATAGCTGCAACACTGTACAAATAGTAGTGATGTCCCCTCAAAAGCAATATTTGGCTTTTTTTTTTTTTTTTTAAAGATTAGGATGTAAAATCAAGAGGACCCTTGGATTACCTTTTATGGTGATTTATTCATATTGATAACATGGTCAGTGTAAAAGTGGAAGTTTCGGTTCACTTTTAACGCATATCTTTTTTTTTAATATCTATGTTCTATGGTGAATGAGTAAGATGACTGATGTAAGGCCCCAAGGAGCTTGGCAGTATGTGTTGCTGATTGTCAGCACTTTAGTTCTGAGTATGCTACTAATATGGCACGATGTGCAAAAAATGTAAACCACATGTTTTAGATGTGCTCTTGTTCTTTAGGTTTTTCCTGGAGTACAAAACATACTGCAGCCTCTAATGGGGTATATACTTTCTATAAATCTATGAATTATATGGAAATATGTGGATACTATATAAATACATAAAAAGCATTAGGTTTAGTACCATGAGGCATTGCAAGATTGACAGTTACAAGCATGACTCCCAAAGGCAGAGGCATGATGGGACTTGTAGTTTCACAACAGCTGGTTTAGAATGTCTATAGTTTTCTCCTTTGGTGGTCCAGGAGTAGGAGTGTGGAAAGGGTTGAATGTGAGTTTGACCTAAACCCAGCCCATTTGCAGTTTGGTGCAGGGCTGAACAAACTGGTCATATTTGGCCAGTACACTTGCCCGAACCTCGACTGATGTTTTAAAACATTTCTACTAACCACAACACCATGACTGATCTCCAGCACACTGGTGCTTCTAAACCAATCAATTGTAAAATCTGCAAGAGGTCATGACCCTATTGGGTCATTGATCTCACCCAGCAACCCTGGCTGCTCTTTTTGCATATACCCATTGACAGGGAATCTAACATTTTGTGGCAGTAGTGTGACAGGGGAATATCATCAGGCAGCGGATCATTGGGTCAGTGGGTCAAGATAGTTAAGCAGCAGGTTATCATGATTCAAGAAGATCTACATCACTGGATGGATGACATGATTTTTCACAGTGTGTAAATAAAAACATCCACAATGAGTGAAAAAGCTTTATTAAATAAATCCAAATTTAATAACATCACCCAGCAATGTAGATCCTTGTCAACTATGTTTCCCCACCATCTGACAATGTTTTCACTTCACAAGATGACCCGCCAAACAACAATTCTGCCTTACTGCTGCTCCCATCGCAAATGACAGATCCCCAGTTGGCTGCTGTACATAAACAAACTAGCCACGATTTCTGAGGAGTGATGTCATTGGCCAAATATGGCCACAACTTTATTTAGTCAGTGACATCACCCAGGAACCCCAGTCACATTGTTTACAAACAGAAGTCAGCTGGGGATCTGTCCTTTAGCAGCAGAAGTAGCAGCAGGGAAGCATTGTTGGGTGATGTACTACAAATAACAGAACCCCTGTCGGCTTCTGTTTGTTGACAAACCAGGGGACTTGACATTTAGCAGCAGTAGCACTACTGCCACTAAATGAGCGATCCTCTTATTTGTTTAGAAACAGAATCTGTTTGGTGATTCTTCACTTAGCGGCTGTAGTGCTACAGCCCCTGAATGACAGATCTCTGGCTGGTCTTTGTAAGCAAAACAATTTCACTTTTAAAAGACTGTATTGTACTGCTTCCGAACTTCATGTGCAGATTTAAGGCTCCCCAAAGCATGTTATTTAACAGATTTGTGTATTTTTAGGCCACTTTTACACTTGCATATTACCTGAGAGTGGCTGCAGACAGCTTTGGGAGCTACCAGACACCCATTGTTTTCAATGAGGTTTCCTACCTGCAGCTAATCACAGGGAGCCCCTGCTGGGTCTCCCACATTTATTTGCAAATGTCCTGGTACGCAAGTGTGATTGGAGCCTTAATGTTGCTCCACTAAAATAACCTTTCTAGAAAAGTATTTAAAACAAAATTACATTGGTACATGTACCTCATAGCAGTGCCCAGATACCCATAAAATTGCAAATTATAGACTTGAAAAAGGTAGCAAACAACAAAATAAAACACAGGATTCAGCTCCCATATATTCAGTGAGGTTCAACATTGTGTTTAGGGTTTGTAAAAGTCCTGCTGTACCCAAGTTGGGAAATGGCCCTTTTCATTCCATTAAATTCACTGTGATGAATTTAGATAAATAGTTAAATACTATTTATTACAACTGTATCCTTGTTATGTAACCACAGCTAGTAAAGTAAAAGTGTATGAGAGTCTTTAGTTAACTATTTATCTGCATCATATTGAACATTTATATGGTAGAATGGAACCCTTTGCCAGTTCACTGGCCAATGCAGTAGCCACTTCCCAACTGCTGATACACAATTCTTCTTACTATCTCCCATAATAACTTTTTTGGCAATGGAGGCACAGCATCAGCATCAGCAGCAGCCTGGTATGTTGAGAGGACACCACCTGTCCTTATGTTCCATTCTCAGTTCACTTAGCTCTAATAATCATGCTGTAATGTTTACATTTCATGGAGATTAATATAATTAGTTATTCAATCAAAATATGAGGAGGCATATAGCCTGTCCTGCTGCAGGCATGGGGTGTAACCTTTCTCTGCAAGAGGACACATTTCTTTTTTGCTGAGATATGCCTGACAGAAGCATATTTTCCACATGACAACTTAAATGGAAACAGTAATAAGCCTCATAGCAGTTCTACAAGCAATACATTATAAAAAAAGACAACCCCTAGACTAGACCTGGAATGAATGGACTGTAGCTTGGGTGACTGCTGGCCTCTTTACTGTTTGAGAGAGAACCAGTTAATATCAGCAGCCCCTGTGGGGGTAGCACTACATAAGTCAACTAAGGAACAAAGCCATAATGGAGATCTGGACATCACTGGCATAGAATAAGTTGCCTTAACATCAAAACCAGAAAATGTCAAGTCCACCTCGGATCTGCAAACCACTGCCAAACATAAGTGCATATTTGCGTAAGATTACAAAATACAAATATTTTTAGCTGAAAACACATGATAGAAACTTACCTCTGCCATAGATTTCTATTCCTGAATGAAATACTCCTATGCCCAAGGTTGACGTATATTCGTTTATCCAATACTGAAAGAGAAAAATGGATTGTCATTGGATGAGGTAAAGGGCAGTATTTTCCATTTTGAAATGAGAACATCGCATTTTATGGACACTTTATTTGATTACATAATAATTAGTGCAGTCATTTTATTTAAAGTGTTATCAAACCCACAGCAGTAAAATCAGTCTGTATATGCAGTAAAGCATGCTCGTTATACTCACTGTGGAACTTAAGGGGTTAATCCTCTGCATTGTGTGGAAAGGCTGTTTGATCCTGACTTCTCTGCCCCGCCTCTTGTTAAAATGACCACCTGATACAAACTGAACTCTTGGTCACATGTACATGCTCAGTTTGGTGTGTATTGCTAGAGAGGCTTTTTTTTTTCTTGGGATGGTGCATGTGATCAGCACAGGGCCAATCAGCACTGTCCAGACAGAGGGTCAGAGGTTTCACATCCTCCTAGAGCAGAAAGAAAAATCCTCCTACAAGCTTTAACCAGTGCTCTGCTGAAGTCACAAGACTGCTCTAACTGCTGATGAGAAAAGGTATTTAGCAGTTTATATTTACTAAAATAATTGCATGTCTATGTTCTGTGAACTGTGGGAGATCAGATATAGTGAATGCAGGGTCCTGGGTTCAGTAACACTTTAAATATTTACGGTGCTACCTTTCCCATTCAGTACAAAGTGACAGTGATTCTGTACAGATCTCTAACCCCCCCCCCCCCAAAACCCACTGATACTTACCTTTCCAGGTCTCTCTTGACACTTCTTTCTTTGTCACAGCCTGTACCAGAATACCCAGTGTTAATTGAAGAATATTAGTGTGTCAGAGCACTGACAAGTCAATTTTTATTTTTAATTGCTAGCTTTCATGGAAAAAAAGCAGCTGGTGATGCTGGGATAAAGGTCTTTGTTTGGGACGTTTGTGCTATAGGGTGTCAACTCTCTGCCACAATCTCCTCCCTGTAAGGCTCCATGTACACTGCAGCTGATAAACTGACATTTAGAAGCTTTTCTGCGTTTTTTTCAGCAGCCCCTGAACTCTCCCTAATGTTTTCCTATGTGTCCATGTACACTATGTTGTTTACAGTCATTTACAGGCAGTTGAGTTTACAGTCATGTTTTTGAACGCACCAAATTTGCGTTCAGGAGTAGATTTTATCAGCATTTCAAACGCTAAAAGCTTGTAAACACATGTAACACAGCTAACTGTGTTTATAAGCGTTTGGAAAAATTTTTTAACTCTTCCATTTCCAGATGCTGTCCAGAGCCTTTATTCATCATCAAAAATGCATGCAAAGCATTTTCCCGGTACTCAAATGGACCTAGCACACCATACTTTGAGGTTTTGCATGAAAGAAAATATGTTAGACACTGCTGCAATAATTTCTGCACAGAAATGAGCTGGAACACATCCAAACACCACAAAAAAAGACAGCTAATCTCAACAATTACTGCTCTCTCTGCTTCTGCTATTTCTCTCAAAATGTCTGAAATAGTAAATTTTTTACTGTTTTTCGGTGCATTCTGGGCATTTTGGAAGGTCTCCTGAGGTTATCTTTAAAAAAATGCCTCTAAACGCAAACACTCATAAACGTGCATTAACGCGGTATGCAAACACGGCTAAACAGGCATTTTTTAACGTACATTTTCCAGCAGTCAGTTTCCATCATTCAGAAGTGTCCCGTGTACATGGAGCCTAAATCACCCTATTACATGCTCCCCCAAAGGAAACTACAATCAGCTGTGCTTTTGCACATTGCCCATGCTGTAACACTGTTATAACTATTTAAAAAGGCCAATTAAAAAAAAAACATTTGCAGCCAGTAACAATATGGAAATATGCCCTGTTATCACTGTACTGTATGTGTACAAGTACAGGCTGTAACCAGTAGCATACTCTGGACGTGTTAGACACACCCATAAAGATGTCATCATTGTACGCAGGGTGCGTGTAACATGTCCAGTCCTTCTGCCCTGCTTCCAGGACCTACCCTGTCACAGTACTGACATTGTCCAGTAGACAAAGTTCTGACAGCTGGAGCAGTAAAAAAAAAGCTGTCACACAAAGTTTATCAACAACATTGCTCAAAAGAAAAAATGTTTCATTTTGTATCTCTTTATTCATCTACAGATCAAAGGGATAAACTTCAATGTGCAGATGTAGTTAAAGCAACCTAACAAGTGAAAAAACAAAAAGGTTGTTTGTTTTTTTTTTTGTTTTGTTTTTGTTCCTCTATACAACCCCTTATTAACCCTTAGTTTTATTAACTAACAATATTTTAACTTTTTCTGTTTATTAATATTTTTAATACCTTTAACATATATTCACAAATTTCACATTTAACTTTCATTTGCAAATAACGTTGCAATGCTTTGCACTACAATCATAATTTTAGTGTCATTTTAAAACAGGATAAATTACACAATAAAAATCTGCACTTTTTATGTGCAGTAACACTATTTTTAAACTAACACTGCTCAAAAATAGGAAAAGTGCATTTTGTTATGTTTTGTTACATTTAATTGTTTAAGGATTGAGGGGAAAACTTGTTGCAAGAAAATATTCAGAAAAAGAAAGCCTTTTTGTCCTTAAAAAAAAAAAAAATGTATTATGTTTTTATCTTAAAGTGCTACTAACCCCAGGACCATATATTCACTATATCTGGTCTCCCACAGTACACAGAACATGGAAATGAAATTATTTTAGTAAAGATAAACTGCTAAATACCTTTTCTCATCAGCAGTAAGGGCAGTCTTGTTACTTCTATCAGTGTTCAGCAGAGCACTGGTTGCAGCTTGTAGGAGGAGTTTTCTTTCTGCTCTAGGAAGACGAAGGACCCTTGACCTCTGTCTGGACAGTGCTGATTGGCCCTGTGCTGATCACATGTACACTCTCAGGAAAAAAAAAAATGTCTCTAGCAATACACACCAAACTAATCACGTGCAGAATGACTCCACACGATATGTCTTATTAGGCAATAAAAGAGTGACACTGGAAGAAGGGGAGGATCAGAAAAGTCAGGATCAAACAGCCTTTTTACACAATACAGAAGATTAACCCCTTAAGTTGCACAGCAAGTATATCAAGAATGCTTTACTTCACACACAGACTGATTTTACTGTTTTGGGTTTAGTAATACTTTAAGTAATGACAAAGTTATCTCCAAATAAACAGGTCCATAGCAGAAATGTAAATATTGCTCTGGTCCATAGGAGGTGAAGAGGTGTGAGAGGCGAAGTGGGTGAAGAGGCTGCAGGACATCAGAAGTATTGAGATATAAGAGGGGATGAAAAAAGGTAAACAAAAAACTTTCCCTCTCCACCCCAACTCTCTTAGAATTACACCCTGGAATTTATAAAGTTTTGCACAGACAGATTTTGCAAAAGTGCCTTTCTTGTGCTTTAAAAGTGCTGCAGAACACACCAAATTCTTGAAAAGGGAAAAAAATAAAGCCCATACGTCAGGTTTTCCAAGCAGGGGTTTTTCACCACCAGTCAACCGAAAAATGCTGAGCCACCTGGCTGCCCTTTTCAGCACCATTGCTGCTCTTCTTACTGACCCTCTGGACTGTATCCCCAGCTCTCCTTGTTCTCTGGGATCCCTTGGCTCACTCAGCCCTCAGTGGCAGCATCCAGCTGAATGAGCCCACTCCTGACCTCTCAATATGGGGTCTCCTGACACCCTGGGCTCTCACTCCCCTTAGACCTACAGACTCTCTTTGTCCCTGGGACTCACGTAGTCCCCTCAGCTCTCGCAGTCTCCTGGACTCGCTCAGCTGTCCCAATTTTCCCAGACCTGCAGGTGATGAATCTCTCCAACATGGAGTGCAGTCTCTTGAGGGCATCACAACTCTTAATGTGAGCACAGCTGTCTCCCGGCTGGAGCACACAGCTCTCTCATGACAGGGCTTTGAGCTATGGCCAGGCGTCACCTATAAAGAGTGTGTACACCTGGACACACGCACAACCTGTAGGCCTTCAGGATGACCTGGATACAGGGTTCAAAGCTTCATTCCACCCAAGACACTTTGAAGCCTTCAAGCTCCAGACCCCGATCCAGAATTAAAAACCCAGGGAACACTGACAAACCAGTCTTCTCCACTCAGACACAATACTCTGGACCCTCTCACTCCACATTAGTACAAATCCTGTGTGTATTTTCCTATCTTCACACCGTGGCAGAGCCTAGTACTGTCACACTGAATAATTACTTTGAGAGAGACTTGGCATTTTTTAACTAAGGAAGCTTAGAAGAGGTATTCCAGGTATATCCTCATCTGTAACAAACCTCATACATACTTGTATAGCTACACACTAGGCAATAGCCCTTCACTGGAACACTACTGTAGTTCCCTTTCCACTATTTATTGCTAGGATTGCTGAAATTATGGAGAAAAATGTATACACTGAACAACACAAAAATGTATTCGATCTAAAATGGGATCCTTGGTTTCTTTATAGCCTTTCAAATGGTAAATTAGATAACAAATCCTGATTCTGAAGCATTGTGACTTGTATTTTTTTCACTTAATTTGCACCTTATATTGTCATATTCCTCTTTCTTTTTTTATTCTGTATCCTTTTTTGTGCAGTTAATTTTGGTTCTTGAACTGAGAAGTAACAACTAAACATATATTTTTGATATCTTAATTAAATTGATATATATATATATATATATATATATATATATATATATATATATATATTGTAACACTACAGAATTTTATGTATATCTGTTGATATATTTATGTATTACAACTGTTAAGTCTCATGTTATTATGTAAAACGTTTTTAGAATAAAAAGTTTGTCAACAAAAGAAGACTATTTCCCAGTGAAATAAATTAAATAATGAGGAACACAGCACCAGCCCCTGCCTGTGGGTGTTTTATCATGCCAGGGAAGTATTGTATTTGCAGGTGGCAAGGCAGGGTTCTGTTGACCAATGTGAAAGACATTCTCAAACTCTATATAGCCTTTCATATGTGATGTCAATGAAAGCAAACACAGCATGTTCTATTTCCCTTTTCCTGTTTGAGCTGAAGCCTAGCCATT